TTTACCCCAAGGTCACCCAAGTCTGGGGCAGAATAGTCAGGGCGTCTGACCCTTTTGTCTGTTGTGGGGAAGGACATATCTACTCAGGCTGACTGAGATAGTAAGCTGGCTTGGCGAGAGGACAGTGCCCTTGTCTCTGCCTCATGATTCTGTACCCTGGCACATGGTACTCCTTCCCTTCCAGGACCAAGCAGGCTGTGAGAAAGTGGGAGACAGATCAAGGAATCTCTTGGGGACTTGGGATGTTGGGGCATAGCCAAACATCTACCCTGCATTTCTACCGTGGGAGGGTCTGTGCTCACCACTGAACAGGAGGACAGACATGGTGACAGGTGGGCGTAACTGTGCCTTTGTTGCATTCTTACCCCAGCTGCTGAAGTCTGCACCTCACCTTCTACATTAGTGACGTTTTCCCTCGTGATCTGGCAAAGAAATTTAAGGGAGAACTGATCTGTTTTGGCTCCCGGTCTGAGAGAATGTACTCCATCAGAGTGGAGGAGGAAGAGCTAGTGGCTCTGTAGCTGGAAACAGAAACGGGCTGTTTCGGAAGGTTGCGAAAGCCTCATTGGAGGAAAACAGGCTACTTGGAGCCTTGTGTTCTTACCATCATCTCTGTCATGATGGATTCTAGCCCCTTGGAACTGAAGCCAAAGTCAACCCTTTCTCCTTTAAGGTGCTTTGATCAGAGCATTTTCTCGCAGTAACAGAAGCTAAACCAAGACAGGAATAATATAAAGCACTGTCTCCTGGACAGATGCTGTGGGGTACCAGCTATCTGCACAAGACTGACTTATCAACACTGTAGCATGGATGGGGAGGTACAGTGTATGAGGGAGTCATTATTCTTCAGGATGTGGCTATGGATAGATTGCCCATGTTCCTGTGGCTAGCCCAAACACCTGTGAGAATGTGGGCAGCACTAACTGGGATTACAAACAGTGGGTTTGCTTGTTTGTTTGTTTTGTTTTTCAAGACAGGGTTCTCTGTTTAGTCCTGGCTGTTCTGGAACTAGTACTGTAGACCAGGCTGACCTTGAATTCAGGAGATCCACCTGCCTCTGCCTCCTGAGTGCTGGGATTAAAGACGTGCACTACCATTGTCAGGTTTCAGTGGGTTATTTAAAGTAAGGAAGAGAAAGTAAAGCATGGTGCATGCCTTTAGTCCCAGCACTCGAGAGGCAGAGGTAGGTGGATCTCTGAGTTCGCGGTCAGCCTGGACCACAGAGTACATTCTGGGATAGATAGAACTACACAGAGAGACCCTGTCAAAAAACAAAATATAGTAAAAATATAAAAGAAAACAAAGAAGAGATAGGGTGGGAGGAGGATATGTTGGTGAGGAGTCAAGGGGTATGATTTAGATACATTGTATACTTGTATGAAATTGTCAAGTAATAAATAAAAATACTACTTACAATTTTCTTTAAAAAACTTAGATCTGACCAGGATGGTGGTATCATATGTCTTTAATCTCAGTACCTGGAAAGCAGAGGTAGGCAGATCTCTGTGGGTTCAAGGCCAGCCTGGTCTACAGAGCAAGTTCTAGGACAGCCAGGACTACACAGACAAACCCTGTCTCAAAACATCCACCCACCTACCCACCCCCTAGGAAAAAAAAAACTTAATTTAGGTCTGGGGTCTCTAAGTAGGCCTATTGGAAGTATGACTTAAACTTTCCTTTATTTGAATAATTTTGCCTGAAGGTACCATGTCCCAAAGGCGACCTGGGCTCATGCTTTGCCTGTTGCCTCCGAATAATAGTCTTGTCATTCACTGCACGTTGGCGTCTACCTGTGCTTCTGTGGGAACCCATGTTCACCCGAGCCTCATCTGGTGAGGAGTTTGGTCACAAGCCTGGCACACTGAACTTTTCTAAAGCTCCTGTGCTGGAAGGGGCCCGTCAGTGCAGTCGTGCGGACTTGTTCAATTGGTTTAATTTGAGGGACCATTGAAACTGGAGATCATCAAATGACATCAAATGCATCATTTTGAAGAGCGACAGAGCAGCAATGGATACTGGGATTGCTGTTTAGGGGTCGAGCCTTCTATAATGAATAGCCATTGATGACAGTGCTTCTTAAGTACATTAGAAGTCCTCAAAAGCCAGGCAGTGGTGGCACACGCCTTCAGCACTCAGGAGGCAGAGGCAGGCAGGATCTCTGTGAGTTCGAGGGCCAACCTGGTCTACAAGAACTAGTTCAAGGACAGGCTCCAAAGCTACAGAGAAACCCTGTCTCAAAACAACAAAACAAAACAAAAGTCCTCAAAAAAATATCCTAAACATTCTTACCTTTGTTTTTGCACTGAAGTGTCACCCTGAAAATGAAATGTTACAAAGCCATCGGAGTCTCTTTAGCCCATTGGGTTCCATTAACCCAATCGCCATTCCCATTCAAAGTGCTCCTCAACAAAATTCTGCTGAGGGCCTGTGTGCTATCCTGCCATGTGGCCTGTGCTGAAGAGACTTCTCTTACAGTGAACCAGACTGAACGATATGGGATTGCCGCGGGGAAGATGGGCAGAGTGCATCAGTGTGGCCTTCCGATGCTGGAGTGTTGAGGGAGGAGGTATGCTCAAGAGGATGGAAGCCTAAACCAGTTCAGAAGGAGTTCCATCTGGTGGCAGGCTTCTGTTACTATGAGAAAGGAGGGACAGGTGGGGCGGAGGGGGATGGATGTGTCAATATGGTTGTCCGCAGCCCTGGGATTGATGGGCAGCCTGATTCAAGGGGCACTTTGGCGACAGCCAGGACACTGGAAAGGAAATGGAAAGACCTGGACTTGATCTTGCTGGGACTAACAGGGGCTGGAGTGCAAAGAGCCCAGGAAGAGTCAAAATCAGCAATACAGTCCCTTTGATCTGGGGCCGTATGAAGGACAGGCATTTTGGGTGTTTTGCACACGCGAGTGAACTCACACCCCACGTGGATGACAGATCTTTCTCCTGCTGCACAGTGGCCATAGCTTCTGGGGTCAGCTCAGCCTTTTGCTGAGTAAGGCTTTGGCAGCTGTGGTGTCTCCTCATTCATTATTCATGAATAGATCAACTGTTCAGAACTGAAGCTTCGATGTAAGAAACTGGGGTTGAGAAAGAGTGGCAGGGAACTTGCCCGTTTGCCAGCAGAACTGCCCTCTTCACTCTGGAAAACACTTCTCTAGGAAACGGTGCCAAGACCTGATGGAAGAGAAATGAGTTTTCATGATGTGTCCAAAAAGTGCACAAAAAGGAAAAAGAAACATTCTCTCTATATAAGTGGCTGCAGAGGGGAAGACTCTGGAAGAGAGAAAGCATAAAGCACTATGGTCAGGGTCACCACAACATGAGAAACTGTTGAAGCGTTAGGAAGGGTGAGAACCATCGCTCTAGTGAGACTTTGGGAAGGATTTACTGGGACCTGCTCTGGTTTGGATATGATTTTTTCCCCCCAAGATAAGATTTTTCTGGGTAGCCCTAACTGCCCTGGAACTTTCTCTGTAGACCAAGTTGGCCTTGATCTCAGAAATTTGCCAGCCTCTGCCTCCCAACTGCTGGGATTAAGGGCTTGCTTAGCCTTTCCTGCCTTCATTCTTACCTGAAAAACAAGGGGGGTTGGACAACGAGGAGTTTCGCTATTCACCGCCACATCTTTCCTTTTATGCCACCAGCCTACCGGGATGGAACCAAGTTTGCTGATCAGCTTTGCAAATATACCCCTTTGCTTCCCCCCTTTAGTTTATTACAATAGAGGAAAACACAAGGTCTCCAGCACATCCCGAGATGAGTGAATCTCAAGTCAAGGACTCCGCTCCTTAGCCCATCTCTATGTTGTAGGATTTGAGGATTCCAGCTGGGACACCAAAGTATTTCTCACAGGAGATCCCTTTCTTCTGCCCCTTGGTGGGAGGGACCCTCTGGGATCTGTTGGCAGTTGAGATTTAACATGGGGCTGGGTATACTTTGAGGGGAGTTGCATTTGGGTTTTAGTTTTTAAAAGTATTCTTACTGGAAAAGGAGTTGTGCACAAGGGACAACCCAGAAGTAGACTAAAGCAAGATCAGCCTTATTTATCAGTGACTCCTCCTTTCCTCAAGGTCAACAGCACCCCACCAGGTGTGGGGAGAGGCGGGGGAGGCAGCTCAGGTGGGACGTGCACAAACCGCTTGATTCTCTGGTTCTCCAATACAAGATTTAAGTGTTTAGTGTTGGCCAGTAAGTGTGTCAGGCACAGAGACCCCCTTCCAGGCTTACAATTGCTCTTCCAAATGATTCTTACATCTATGTCCAAAAGAAGTGACTGTCATTGAAATCCTCACGTGGGAATTCAAAGACAGATAGGGACCCGGTTGATTTGCCCAAGTGTTGGGACTGCAGGCGCGGGCTGGGCGCTTCTGCGTCGTAAAGACGTGTTCCCTGACTACTCAAGGTGACAAGAAAAGAAAAACAAAACAAAACTAAACAAAAAACCGTCCAAAGCCCTGCGGCCTCTTCCACGCTCCCGGCAAGCCTTCCAGGTACCATTCCCAGATACCCTCGCGTGCGCTGCCACACACAGAACCGAAAACAACTTTTAAAATAAAAGAAGCGTCAGGAAGGTTTATGCTGCCAATTGCCTCTGCTTTCAGCTTTTCTCGCTTGAAACTGGGTCTGGGCACTGGGTTTCTGCCAATCTTGCCAACGCTGCCTTTCCACGGCAGGGTCAGATTGATTCGCATCCACAGATCCCCATGCTGGGCACTGGTCCATTCCAGTTGTGGCCGGGGTCTATGTGATCTCCCTCCGCGCTGGACGACCTACGGGAACTTTCCCAGGCGATAGCGTGGGGCTGAGCAGGCTTCACTCTGTTGAGTATTACTTTGGTTTTAAGGTCGTCAACCTCAGAAGAAAAAGAAGCCTAGATTGGGAAACTGAGCCTGGACGGAGGGCGGAGTCGCGCGCTGCCCCGCCTCGTCCCCGCGGGCGGTCCCCGATCGGCCCCCCTCCCGGGAGCTGTGCCCGTCCCCCTGGCTCCTCGTCACTGCCGCTAGGCCAATGGGCTGGGCCGCACGGCCGCGCGCACTTACACCCGCTGTCCCCAAGACCCCGACACGCCGTCCCCAGCGCGATTCTTCGGCTCTCGTCTGGTCCACAGCCGTCGGAGTCGCCATGCAGTCCTCACGCACCGCGCTCTTTTCTCTATTGCTGCTGCTGCTGGCGGCGCCCTCCTTGGCGCTGCCGTCCGGGACCGGCCGCTCGGCCTCAGCTACCACTGTGTGCCCGGAGCGCTGCGATCCCACACGCTGCGCCCCACCGCCCACGGACTGTGAGGGCGGCCGAGTCCGGGACGCGTGCGGCTGCTGCGAGGTGTGCGGCGCGACTGAGGGTGCAGCGTGCGGCCTGCAGGAGGGTCCCTGCGGCGAGGGGCTGCAGTGCGTAGTGCCCTTCGGGGTGCCCGCCTCGGCCACAGTACGACGGCGCGCTCAGGCCGGCCTGTGCGTGTGTGCCAGCAGCGAGCCGGTGTGCGGCAGCGACGCCAAGACCTACACCAACTTGTGCCAGCTGCGCGCCGCCAGCCGCCGCTCTGAGAAGCTTCGCCAGCCTCCGGTCATCGTCCTGCAGCGCGGCGCCTGCGGCCAAGGTACCCGCCCCACCCTGCACTGCACTCCTGGGTGGTTCCCCACCCTCACCAACCCAACCCAACCTGTCCGGATCGAGGGAGAGCAAAGAATTGTGTGGTGTTCCGGGGGAGAGAAACGGCACTCGGGGTTGCTGCGTTACAAGGGCTCCCTCGGACCCAACTTTTGCGCCCGGCATAGGGTCGTTCAGCGCAACACGGAGCAGGTGCTTTGCGCACTTTGGTCCTGCATCACCTCTCCGGGGTAAACCCGCATGCCGTTGGGGGAGAGCCCCATAGTACCAGGATCTTGGCATACTAATATACATGGCCTTGGGGGGCCACTAGAACTCCTGTCTGTCGCTTTCCCTCACTTCTTTCTTTCTGCTGCCCGCTTTCTTCTTGAAATTAGCCAGGCAGTATTTTTCCTGTAGTTCCTCAGTGAAAACTTTCACTTTGGAGATGTGGAAAGAGGGAACAGCGCTGACCAAGTCAGCCCGCACTTTCCTCACCTCATTTCCTAAGCAAAAACCGGTTTACTACCGCAGCCCTCTTGCTTCCATTGATTTGAGTTAACTTTACAAAAAAAAAAAAAAAAAAAAAAAAAGAAAAGAAAAGAAAAGAAAAAAGCTCCATAACTAATCCTTTGGTTCTTTTGAATGAGCTCAAACGGGTACCGGACCACAGAATATGCCGAGGTAGAGGAGAGGCCCGCTAGGGATGAGGAAAATGTCCTCCCACCCCCTCCTTGTGTGACCCTTTCTGTACCAACAAGATCTGGAGGGGCAGGGAGCTGGTGATGGGGTGAAGGAGGGTGAGAAAGTGTCCAGCTCCCTGCCGGACCTTCCAGAGAAATGCAAGGTTAAATGCAGAGATACCCTGTGGAAAAACAGTAAGTTCAGACTGGCCACTCAAGCCGTGTGGGGACCAGCCAGCTGGGCTCGGTAGTGCACTTGGCTTCGGCTACAGGGCTCCTGCCCAAACCTAGCACCTCCCTCTGGGCATGTGGTGGGAGGATAGGAGAGCACAGGACAGAGGGATTCATCTAGATTTTTCTTTATAGGAATATGGTGCAAATGACCACTTTGGATTTGGCAGATTTTAACTCATGTGGACAGGAAGGTATTAGCGTGGTGTAGAAAGAGGTGGACCATTGTTTATAGTCTAACCACCAGAGTCCAGGGCTGACCCTCAGCCCCAGGAAACTCAGCCTCATTAGAGAGAAGAAAGTTTTTCCAGAGAGGACTGATCCAGAGGGTTTCCTAACGGGCATGGTGAGGACGGATGCCCACTGAGCCCCAGCCCGTGTGACAGGTAAGTTCCCCTTCCATGCTCATTTGGTCTCAGCCTCTGGAGGAGGAAGCTTCTGTCTTTATTAGTGTCTCACACAAAGTGGAACTGAGGTTGACTAACTTGTCCAAGGTCACTCAGCTGGAACCTGAACCCAGCAGCTTCGTTCAGACCAGGTCAGAGCTTGACCCCCCAGGCTGGATGGAGGCAAGGGGCTTCCAGTGGGCTGGAATGGCTGTCTCACCCTGGGAAGAAGTGGGCGCGGTGCCGGTGCTGAGTGGACTCTTCTTTGAAGCCGAGAATAGACTGGTGTTGCCGGAGACAAGTAGAGGTGTCCAGAAGTAACCCGGAGTAGGCGTTCAGAATCCCCTGGGGAGGAAGGTGTGGCACACAGGCTGAGGTTCTTGACTAGTTCTCTGATAGGCGCTTCTCAAAAGAGGGCCGACGTAGCTCGCACTAACCTAGAGGAGGATTGCAGAGGGCACGGGGTCTGGGCTGCTTCTGCAAGAATCTGAGTGTGGGGCGGTGATGTCCAAAAACCACATTTTGGTGCAGAACGAAGCAGCTGTTACTGTTTGTGGCTCCACTTCATGGGGCCTGAGTTCCTGACACTGTGTGGAGCTGAGTCAGCTAAGGCCTGGACTTAGCAGAGACCAAATACTTGGCTGGTTGAATTGTCGCGGGGAGACAGGCCATTTGTTGACCCAGGGCCCCAGTGGCCCCTCTTTGTGGAGACAGCCAGGGAAGAAGAGCTGGAGGTTAGCCATCCTTCCTACATTTGTAAGCACCTGTTGTTCTGTATGGCGTCTAACATACTTTGTCTGCTTACCTGGTACTTAGGCACTGATAGTTACATGGGTGGGTGGACGGAAAGATGGGAGATGCTTGGCACACACAATGGACCCGTAGCTTTGCTTTGCCCTTACTTCCCATCTGAGGCTGTGTCCTGAGGTAGCTCCCAGACCCTGGGGGTCAGCCCCCTTCCTTCTGCCTCACCCCACTCCAGCTTTCAGCAGCTGGTGACCAGGGCAGCTAGCTCACTTGATGTCACAGTTGAATAAGGAGAATTGACCACGTGCTGCAGTGTGAAGGGCAGAGAGGTTCTGTTGTAGCTGGGCAGACACAGAGGCCTTTTGGGAGAAGTACCATTGAGTAGAAGGTGAGGGCAAGCGCTGTGAGAAGACACTGAGGTCAGAGAGGTTCTGAGGCAGAGTCTACGCAGACAGGTCAGGAGACAGGTGGGAATGTGGTGGGAGGAGCCGGCTCACTTGATGTCACAGTTGAATAAGGAGAATTGACCACGTGCTGCAGTGTGAAGGGCAGAGAGGTTCTGTTGTAGCTGGGAAGACACAGAGGCCTTTTGGGAGAAGTACCATTGAGTAGAAGGTGAGGGCAAGCGCTGTGAGAAGACACTGAGGTCAGAGAGGTTCTGAGGCAGAGTCTACGCAGACAGGTCAGGAGACAGGTGGGAATGTGGTGGGAGGAGCCGTCCCAGGCATTGCATTGGGAGTCATGGTAGCCCTTTGGATGGAGAAAATGCCATCACACCAAATGAAACTTACGTTGTTGTTGTTGTTGGTTTTGGCTTTGGTTTTTCAAGACAGGGTTTCTCTGTGTAGCTTTAGAGCCTGTCCTGGAACTCGCTCTGTAGACCAGGCTGGCTTCAAACTCACAGAGATTCCCCCTGCCTCTGTCTCCTGTGTGCTGGGTTTAAAGGTGTGTGCCACCAATGCCCGGCAAAAAAAAAAGAGAAACTTTTGTCTGTAAGTCGGTTAATGAAAACACCAGAGACCATCTCTTGTTTTGGAAATAGAGACGAATTATCAGTGCTGCAGGGTTAGGCTGAGAAGTAGATAGACAGGTATCCAGAGGACCGGGGTTTGTTACTACTGACCAGGAGAGTGCAAAGAGGAAGTGAGAATAAATGGTGGGTGTGCTGGTTCACATCTGTGTTTCCAGCAAGAATTCCAGGAGTTTGAAGCCAGTTTTGGCCAACAGACCCTGTGTCAAATTAAAAAAAAAAAGTTTTGATAAATATAGCATGCCAGCAACAAGGTGCCATACAGTTCATAATTCTGCATCAGGCGTCTGTTTCCCAAGCCTTTGGTCCTCCTCACAGGGCCGGTGTTGTACCTCCTGGTACAGCTGCCCATCACACCGTGAGCCCGTGCGTGGATCCGGAGCCCACTCTTAACCACCACTCTGTGCTGTTGACACAGCAACGGAGATTATAAACCAGATCCAGCTGAGGAGCAGCTGATAGCTGAAATAAACAATACTCCAGATGGCCATGGCGTTGGACGATGAGGGATGGATTTCTCCTTCAATGAGCACAGGAGTCAGGGCAAGGTTTGCCTTCAGTTACTGGCCAAGGAGAAGCACAGGGTAGAAGGGGTTGTAAAAAGACGAGTCTCCAAGTCAGAGTTCCTGACTCTAAACTGTTCTTGGGCAGGAAAGGGACATGCCAAAAGACCAACCATGGTGTGAGGTGCTGCAGATGTCTGTTAAGGAGCCAGGAAAAAGACTTCCCAGAGAGGAGAAACTTAGTCCATCCATTTCTCCTGCTGTACAAGCCAGGAAAGCCCACCCTACCCTGGACATCCCAAAGGGATAAGCATAGAGGTTTCCAAGCCTCAGGTGGGGGCAGAGAAGGGCTGGAGGGGGCCAGCTAGAGGTTGAACTCTTGGCAGCACGAACTATTTGTAAAACGGATTTTATTTAGCAGACTCTTTTCTGTGAACCTTGAGCACTGTGAGCTTTAGTGCCAGGCCTTGCTGGACAGTGGAGATACAAAAAATACCACCAAGTCCCTGCCTGAGGGAGCTCACAGTTAACACAGTGCGGGTAAAGACAGTCGTTCATTGCCAGAGGCTGTTTCCTTTTGTCTAGTGCAAGTACACTAGAGTAATTTCTGCTATTGGCAGTTGGATGTACCTTTTGTTCCTTAAGAGAATATGCATACAGGGTGGGGACCAGGCTTCATCTTAGGGCAGGGTTGGTAGAAAGAGTGAGCAGGATTCTGTCATCTTAAACTGTCTTCCTAGCCTTTGTACGGCTTTCTCATTGTCTGGCGCCTTCCCTTATTGCCCCGACGGTTTGCTAAAGTGTTAAATAGTAAGGCTTGATAAAATGAGTAAGTTAACAGGATCAAAAGCCAGGCATTTGGTTTACTTTATCCCATCCCAGGGAGCAATAAATAGATTGCTTTGGAACTTAACCACGGTTGGTCAGGGATGATGAGGCTGTGAGCTGGCTGGCCAGATGCCTCAGTACGGCGGGCCGAATTCTGAGTTAGTTTGGAGCTGGGGGATGCTGGATGAATTTTGTGCCTTGGATTCAGACACCAGGCTTTTCATGAGCTTATGTTTCTTATGGACAAATAGCTCTGGTTCCACATGCTGTGAGGAGCGGTCACGCTTGGCAGTGATTTGAGGAAGCCTTGAGTACTGACCCCTGGCTCTGGCCTGTGTGGGGGCAGCCCTGACCAGTACCAGTTCCTCTGGCTCTCAGGGCCGCAGCCATGAAGGGCCTGGATCCGTGCTTCTAAGGTCCCTTTTAGCTAAAATGGCCTACAGGTCTTATAAGGAAACTGATCTGTGAGGAGATTGTGGTCCTGTGTCTGTGTCAAAGGCTTGGATGCCCTAAAAGATGCTACTTGTTTTTCCTTAAATTATGATGGGAAAAGCCAGGGTTGGCACTGAATGGTTGCCCCCACCCTGTGTTTAGCCGCCTTC